TTTAGAATCACAGACATATCAGTTATGATGGTTTATATCAATTCAGGGAGAGGCCACTCTTGTTCTTGGCCATGTGGAAGCCGGGGACAAAGGGCAATAAAAGACAAATAATAACATTTCAATTCCATTAGCAAGAGAAAAATAACTTCCCTTGAGATCCAAGATGCCCCTATCCTGTACAAAGTTAACACAATATTACACAATGTTTGTTCTCTATAAGGCAATATTGGATGCTGCTAAATAAATAAATAAATAAATGTAAAGTAAACAGATACATGTTTGGAAGATGACGTATGTTTTCCTCTTGGTGGGACCCCAACTATATATTCCTTAGGAATGTCATTCCTTGCAAATGAAAACATAGGTCCAAAACACACTGCAGAAATAATCCAGTTTAAGACTGCTTTAACAGCCCTGGCTCAATGCTAGGGAAGTCTGGGAACTGTAGTTTTGTGATACATTTAGCCTTTTCTGTCAGAGATCTCTGGTGCCACAATAAACTACAATCCCCAGGATTTCCTAGCACAAAGCCAGGCAGTTAAAGCAGTCTCAAACTGGATTATTTCTGCAGTGTGTTTTGGACCATGATCTCAAAGCCATTGTTGAAGCTTGATCTGAGCACTCACAGAGACCAAGGACTAAGCAACATCCAAACAGGAGAAAATTATACTTAAATTGACATATGTGACTGTATAGATGTATCCCTGATTCAAACAGCTTACAATCTGAATAGTCAGGTACAGAAATGTATAAAAAGCTCAAATAACCAAATAATAAGATAGCTGCATAAAGAGTTCAATGGTACTTCCTGATCTTAGTGGCTTGTTTGCTTTTTTAAATGCTGTTGTGACATTTGGCACAAACCAAGAGGATTTGTGTCTGTCCCGACCACTTGAGGGATGCAACTAGATTCTTATTATGTGAGGACAGATGCACGGTTCCATGCATCCATCTATATACAGTGCCTGGGAGCATTAACCTGGCAAAGTAGGGCTGTGGGTTGGCACAGGCAGGAGAGATCTCATCCATGCCCACAATCACCACCACCTCACCTAGCAAGAGTCAGACTTTTGTCAAGATGTGAGAGTGCAGCGAAGAGTACCTGCAGGCTTTCTGTGAGAAGTAGTTACAAACAAAATCAGGGACTTTGTAGTATAGTATAGAAACAACAAGGTGTGAAAAGTAGTATTCTGGAAAGAAAAGGACATTTTCTTTAGAATTTAGTCCTAAATCCAACGTGAAGCTTATACATAGATATTGAATTTTCTTTCCATGTTCTCCACCCCACAGCCCTAAGAGCCACCTGAAATCTATCTCTAGAGGATTTCCTATCTCACTGGAGCTTGTGGAGAGGGGAAGAATGGCTGTTATGAGAAGGGAAAGGGTACCAACTAGCTAACACTGGATTGTGCTATTGCATGAGAGGAGGTCCAGCATTGGATGTAGACTCTAGAAGCTGAAAAGATTAACTTTTGATGCATTTCTGAAAGAGACATTGTTGTAGGTGTCTTGAAAGAGGCCAGAGTATTGGATAGAACTTTTGGAAGCACTATAATCTTACTGCCTTTGCAGATGGTGCTTTGCACCGTCTTGGAAGCAAGGAAGGGGAGGGGCAGCCTCACGCTGGGCACCCCAACCCCTTTCTGAAGATGTCATCGGAGCGCCCGTCGTTGCCCACGACGGGCACTCCAATGACATACTTCCAGCTCAGCGTCCAGACATGCTGAGCCGGAAGAGGCACAAAAGAGCTGCATGGCGGCTCTTTGGGCGCCCCTTTCACGGCTTGTGGAAGGAGCGCTATTTTAGCGCTCCTTTCCCAGGCGGCGAAAGGGAGGATCGGGGCCGAGGCATGGGGTAGCCTCGGGCCCAATCCACTGCTTCCCAGGGTGGCCCATAGCTGCCCATCTGCATCTCCCCTAAGTGGTTGGGCACGGCAAAACTGAAGAGTAAAATCAGAGTCTGAAATAAGTAAGCTTATCGCATTGTGTTCTTGTAACGTAATGAGTACGTGATGAGAACGGAATTTTATCACACGGTATGATCCTCATCGAGTTCCCATTCTGTGCTCTGACAGTCCCTAACCCGTTCCAGAAGGAGAACTGTAAAAATGCATCCTCAGCCAGCAAGAACGCTTTCAGACCATTCCAGATTATGTGTGTGCGATAATCCTACCCAATCTCAATCTGTCCTCATGTTCTGATTGGCTAAGACAACCTCCTCCTCTCCGTCCTAGAATGTCCTCAAACTCAACTCAACTCATCCAGTCTTGATGCAAGGAAGGTGCCATAGATAATTTAAAAAATATATTTTTTAAATTTTGTAGATTAATTGCATCATGTTTACAAGAAAAAAACAATGAATGCTTGCTACCTAAACCTCTCGGTAGCATTCTTTCCAATGCAGACATAGGGTTTTTCGCAACAGTGAGTGTGCACCAATGAAGGATGGCTGAGGAACTCCTTTAGTGCCGGTACCGGTACAACAGTAAATGCAGTGTGATAATATGTGTTCTCATAACGTTACTCTCCTGCTATCAATAGTCTAATGCAGTAATACTCATTCCCATATCATTACGTTCCAGGGACTCGATGGGAATGTTACAGGTACTGGTGCGATAAGCTTAAAGGTTTCTGTGTGTTTATTATATTTACATCAGATCTTTTCTCTAAGAAGTTAAAAGTGGGATTCCAGTCCCTTTCTCTATTTTATTCTGTGAGGTAGATGGAGCTGAGAGATCATGACTATATTTTTTTAAAATTACTTTATATACTCATGCATAAGTCTAGAAATGTTAATTAAAAATTGATCCAAAATCCTGTGTCGATTTATCCATGGGTCAGTATAGGTACAGTGGGCCCTTGGTGTCTGCTGGGGTTTGTTTCCAGGACCACCATCCCTTCCCATGGATACCAAAATCTGTGGATGTTGAGGTTCTATTATATACAAAGGATAGTGAACTGGTGTCCTTTATATAAAATGGCAAAATTAAGGTTTGCTTTTGGGAATTTACATATGTTAAAAAAATATTTTCAAGCAGTGGATGCTGAATCCATAGATAAAAAAATCCATGGATACAAAGGGCTGACTGTACTTTAATTTTTATAAAAGAAAAAGAAAAAAGAACCGTCTGAACAGAACACGAAAGGGAAGAGCTTAGTCCATCCTGGGAGCACCTAAAAGAAGCATTGATCCTCTCTATTCTTCTTCACCTCGGTGCTGCTTCTGGCCTTTTTGAATGCCTGGGTGGGAAAATGGCGGTGGTGGCTTTTTGGTGCTTTCCTCCAAGGGAGCACGGAGAGAGAAGAGGATTCTTCTGTAATGTTATTCCAGTGGTGAGGAATTGGGCTTTGACAAGAGTCTATTGGATAATCAATATAATTTCATAGAAAGTCTATTGGGAGTATGGGGAAAGGATATTAAGATTAATAAGAAAGAAATCCAACAATGGATGCAAGAAATTAAAAATACTAAAAATAGCAAGGTTAGAGAATAACAGATGAAAGTAATAGGTAGATGGTATAGAACACCACAACAGGAGAGTAGTGGAGTCTCCTTCCTTGGAGGTCTTTAAGCAGAGGCTGGATGGCCATCTGTCAGGGATGCTTTGATTGGGAGTTCCTGCATGGCAGGGGGTTGGACTGGATGGCCCTTGTGGTCTCTTCCAACTCTATGACTCTATGATTCTATGATTCTATGATTCTATCATATATTCATAAAAATGTATCACCTGCTTGTTGGCATGGGTGTGGAAGTAAAGGAACATATATCCATATGTAGTGGGAGTGTTGCAAAGTAAACAGATTTTGGAAGGAAATAGAACAAAAAAATTCATAAAATAATAGAGGGGAAAATTCCATTAAATAAAGAAAGATGTATAACTGGTAATGTTAGGAATATAGAATTACAGAAGAAGGAGGAATATTTAATCAAACAGTTAGTTATAGCAGTATTTAAAATGTAATTAAATGGGATTGGGTATTAAAAATAATGGGCACAACTATTTAATTAATGGACACAGCTATTTTATTAGTTCTATTTAATTAAAACTATATGATGTACTGGACTAAATACCCTAAAGGCACCACATCCTGTCTGATCCTGGAAGCCAAGCAACGTCAGTCCTGGTTAATATGTGGATGGGAGACCACCAATGAATACCAAGTGCTGTAGGCTATATTTCAGAGGAGGGAACTGTCAAAACCATTTCTGAGGATTCCTTGCCTAAGAAAACCCTATGAAATTAATGAGGTCGTCATAAGTCAACAGGTGACTTGAAATCACACACATATATATGATGTTGTGGAGAATAGTCAAAAACTAATCGCTTAAGGGCCAGATAACACTAATACTGGTGTCATACTACTGAAATTATTTACGTGTGTGTGTGTGTGTGTGTGTGTGTATAGTTGTTGTATGCCTTTAAGTCATTTCTGACTTGTGGCGACCCTATCAGAGGATTTTCTTGGCAAGATTTGTTCAGAGGAGGCTTGCCATTGCCTTCCCCTGAGGCTGATAGCATGTGAGTTGCACAAGGTCACCCAGTGGATTTCATGGCCAACCAGGGAATCGAACCCTGGTCTCCAAGTCATAATCAGACATTCAAACCCTACGTCATGCTGGCGCACTCATAAACACACACATGCACACGCACATTTGTATAGATGGGTTCACCTTAGGTTCACCGTAAGCCAGAAATGACATGAAGGCACACAACAACAGCAACAACAATAGACAGACAGACAGCTGCATAAGATATGGGTACAGACTTTACAGTCTTACTGTAGAAAATATTAATGTTTATAAAAGAGATGTTTTCTCATTATACTACAAGAGAACAGTGGGTACTGTGGTCACTATTAATAGATACAATATTAACTGATTGTAAAAAAAAAATGTATTCCCTGTAGTCCCACTGAGCAGAAAATCTAAGGAGAATCTTTGAGTAAGAGAATCATGTACTTAATCTGCAGGGTTTTAATGGAATAATTGGAGGGTACACATCCAGTGTGGTGTAGTGGTTTGAGCATTGGACTACAAGTCTGGAGATCAGGGTTCGAGTCCCTGCTCATCCATGGAAACCCACTGGATGACCTTGGGTGAGTCACACACTCTCAGCCCCAGAACACTCCATAATAGGTTTGCCTTAAAGTCTCAAAAACAGCTTTGAAGGCACACAACAGCATGCATAGCAATGGTGTGCACTGCAGCAATCTGTACTGCAGTATATTCAACAGCCAGCATGGCATACTGGTATGGGCATTGGAATACTGGAGATCAGGGTTCAAATCCCCACTCAGCCATGGAAACTCATGGCATGACTTTGGGCAAGTCACATTGTCACATTGTCTTAGCCTCAAAAAGAAGACAAATCCCCTCTGTTCAAATGTTACCAAGAAAACTCTGTGATAAGTTTGCCTTAGGGTCACCATAAGTTGAAAATGGCTTAAAATCACACAAAAACAGCACAGCGATACATGTGAGCAGTACAGCTTGCATAGAGATTTTGCCATCTTTTGCTTCATTTTGCAGGTTCTGCTGCATCTGAGGCAGAGAGTTCTTTTAAAAAGGTCTACTGGGCTTTATCCACCAGATAAACACAACATGTAAGACAGGGATGTGTGGATATGAGGTACATCAGGGTCTTCTGGTAGATTTTGGGGTGATTGCATTAGATCAGCAAGGAGATTTAACTTTTTAAACAATGGTAATAATTAAAAGCTCCCACCTTCCCAGGTTAGCTTACTGGAAAAGAATGCTTGCAGGGAAACCAAAAGTGGGTTTTTGTGCAAGTTACTTGTAAGTTTGGTTCTGATACAAATTCCTGGACTGAGCATGCATCCAGTTTTAGTGTATGTGCACCTGCCTGACTCCTGATAACAAATGTCATTGTAAAAAAATAAAACAGATGTAGATCCACAGTCCCGTCCCATCCAATCTTCCCATCCTCATGTAGGTTACCTCTTAACATGGCTCCAAAAATTGTGATACACTGTGCATTTGGTTAATTCTCCATGCTGTATATCATAGCTGATTTCTCACAACTAGAATGATGGTTCTTAAATATTCTGTTCTCTTGCTCAAAGTTTGCAGTTGTGCAGATTGACACAGCCCGGGAGATAGAAGATCCTGACTACCTTACAGAAAGCTACCTGAATCTGGCACGGAGCAACGAGAAGCTCTGTGAATTCCAAAAAACAATATCATATTGTAAGACCTGCCTGAACATGCAAGGCACCACCCTGAGCCTACAGCTGAATGGCCAGGTCAGCCTCAGCATGGGCAATGCCTACCTTGGCCTCAGCATCTTCCAGAAGGCTCTGGAGTGTTTTGAGAAAGCCCTGCGCTATGCACACATCAATGATGACAAGATGCTTGAGTGTCGGGTCTGTTGCAGCTTAGGAAATTTCTACACACACCTCAAGGTGAGTACTCCTCAAATGGGGTAGGACAGGAGAGGAATTAGGGACATTGTGACAAGTGTCTGTGGACCTTTTTAGACAGTGGTTTAGGACCCAGAGTATAATAGCATTGCTCTTTTGAATAACTCCCAGAATCCCCAACTACTGTGGCCACTTCAGCAAACAATTCTAGGAGTTGAATTCAAAGATATAGCCATTTTAGCCTGTTGAGTAGTATGTAGAGAGATCTTGTAGCACCTTTGAGACTAACTAAAGAAAGAAGTTGGCACCATGAGCTTTCATAGACTTCAGTCTACCTTCTCAGATGCATTCAGGGGGAATGCATCTGAGGAAGTAGACTTAAGTCTATGAAAGCTCATGCTGCCACTTGTAGTTGTACTCTAAGATGTACTGTTTAATAAATAACACTACACTATAGGTCAGGGGTAGGCAACCTTTCCCCTTTAAGGGCCGAGGGACTTCAGCTCCCAGAAGCCTCAGCCATGTTGGCCAATAGCTCCTGGGATTCTGGGAGCTGAAGTCCCTTGGCCCTTAAAGGGGAAAGGTTGCCTACCCCTGCTATAGGTGAAATCACCACCTCTTGAAGCCCGATTTTGGAAAGATGTATTGGACGAAATCCCAGATGAGACATGGAACAATAATAACTGACACAAAAGACAACTTTTCTTATTCAGTTCAAAAAGTGGATGAAGATGCTTTATTCATCATTTATAGACTCATACATACAGTCTGTTTTATTACTGATTTAATTAAATAACCATTCATTTAAAAAGTAAAAATAAATGTTTGTCCCACATTTCCACTACGGTATTTAAAAAGATAACACTTGAGATGGTCATTAAATAATAATTAAAACAATTTAAAAACAAGCTAGACATATAAAACTGTTCAAATCACCAAAATGATTGACATCTTTAAAATTATTGCATTAATTAATAATCAGTTCTATCTTTTCTTAGCTTAGTTTTGAGTACTGAGCATGTATGCTGAGAAAATGAGGGAAGTGTCCTAGGGAAACGGATATGCCTCCACCACCAAGACACCTCCACACAAATTGTCACAGATCCCAACAGTCTTTGTCAACCAACAGAGTTAGCAGCATCTCTCTTTATTTAGCAGGTCCAGGACTGCTGAAATACGATTCCTTAAGGAAGAGGCTTGAGGTTCTTCTTTATGTTAATTTTTTAATACTTGGGTGTTATCTTCCTGAAAGAAAACCTTGTGAGGCTTCTAAATTAGCAGTCTGCATTCAGAAGAACTGAAATTAGTCAAATAAAATGTTGAAAATAAATGTTTGCTACACTTTTTTTTTTTTTTGGGTCAACATCTATTTACTTTTAGATACTGTCGTACTGGCTAACCTTAGTTCATAAATCCAAGCCTCAGTGTCAAAATAGAAAGCTTTATTTAGAAAACTAAAGCAGTTCACAGCATGGTGATGTCATTAAGACTAAACAGTTTCAGTTACACAGTATATTAAAGTCCAGAATAATTCAAAACTTTTCGCACACTCAAATTCCATTTGCTCCCATTTCAAAACACCCATTTTCCAGGCCTGCCCCATTGTTTCTCTCCTTGTCCGGCATTCCCACAAGACTGACCTGGGCAGCTCTCAATGCACATTACCTTCCCTTCACATTTGCTTATTATCCATTTCCAAGAAAGATAAACATCCCTTCCATCCAGCAACACCATGACATAACCCACCATCCACTAATACAAAGCAAAGCAGATGCAACATGATTGACTAACAAGCAGGAATACTGAGGGATTCTGATCCTGACATATACTGTGACTACGGGGATGGTCTTATCAGTGCCCAAAGAGGCACTGATGAATTACAATACACATCCATCATATTTGTAACTGACTCCCTAACATAAATCTCAAATAGGTGAACCATTTCTAAGACCTTATTTACACAATTTTTTATCATGTTATAACTACAGTTAATGACCAAAACAGCTTGATCTCATGGTATGGTTATTGCGCACAGGTAAAGTGCTTTAAATAATGTGTTGTATTGTCTATACTTGTTGCTTTTATTTTTGATGTGCATGTTTTTAATTGCTTATAATTCTATTTGTGGCTTAATTGATATTTTAACTTTTGTATGATATGTATTTTCAGCTTTGTTTAGCTTTTAAAAGCTGAGTGAGTTCTAAGGCTGGGAAAGGGGAAGGATATGATTATGGATGTTGAGCTATCATGAAGAGACTTTTCTGACCAAATAATGCAGTACCCATCCATGAGCTAAAGTAGCAATTTGTATAGTCAGTGACAATTTTCTGGCTGGGAAGAGCAAAGCAAACTCCCTGCAGCTTCTCCTTCTTTGTTGACATATGGGCATAGATGATCTACTTTTTAAACAATGGTAATAATTAAATCCCACCTGGGATTTAATAATAATTAAATTATTATTATTACTCGCAGGGGTCCCCGGACTTTTTGATCCGGGGGCCAGTTCACTGGCCCCCAGATTTTCCAGGGGGCTGGAAGCGTGCACATGCGCATGCGCACAACTTCGGATGCTATTTTGGAACACAAACTGGCACCCGAGTAGTGCGCATGCACTTGTGACGCCAGGCGCCATTTTGTGTTCCACAATGGTGCCTGGAGCCATGCACATGTGCGCACAACAGCGGGCGCATGCACACGACTCTGGATGCCATTTTGGAAGACAAAATGGCGTCCAGTGGCGGGTGTGAGCGGCGGCGGCAGCAGCAGCGGCAGGACCAGCCGCGGGCCGGTAGGAAGGCCTCAATGGGCGGGGTCCGGCCTGCGGGCCATAGTTTGGGGACCTCTGATCTACTGTTTACTATTATACTTTTATTTCTTTATTTATGATTAATTATGTAGTCAGTCAGTTTATATGCTGCTTGTTGGGTATGTTGGCTAAGGCTGTTGGGACCTGCTGTCCAACAACATTTGAAGGGCTAGGTGATTTCTATCTCTCACTTAGACTGATTTAGGGACACTCTGCTGCAAGAGTCTAGTTTTAATCTGCTTGCAAAGTAAGAATAGGCTCTCTCATGATTAACCTGACAAGGGGTTTTGCTGCATACAGTGCTACTGCACCATTGTCCTTGTCTTTTTCTCTTGTCTTTTCAAGGACTATGAGAAAGCTTTGTTCTTCCCATGTAAGGCAGCTGAGCTGGTGAATGATTATGGAAAGGGCTGGAGCCTGAAGTACCGTGCAATGAGCCAATTCTACATGGCTGTAGCCTATCGGAAGCTGGGACGCTTGGGAGATGCTATGGAATGCTGCGAGGTACAAACATTGACCCATGAAGGCCAGATGGCTGTTGTCACCAGAAGTGTTTTCATCCAGTTTCATTTTTATTTGGTTTTAGTTCTAGGAGATTATCCTACCGCTCTAATAACCCAGATTACCTCTTCCGAACTGAAGCCTAATTCAGGAGACAGGCGGATCCTCTCACAAGGATTTCGCTGCCGAAGCCATCGGGCAAGTCCAGCTCAGCTGCAGCCTGGGTCCCCAGTGTGCTTCAGCAGCCATTTTTCAAGTCAGAAAGCTCCCAGTTTCAAAATAAGGCTGCCAAAGCACGCTTGGGACCTGGGCTGTAGCTGGGCTGGACTCACCCGGTGGCTTCGGCAGCAAAATCCTTGTGATAGGACCCAGCTGATTCCTGAATTAGAC